ATTTATATTAACTGGTCGAAATGGTTATGATTTTATTAGAATGAATCTGTTATGTGCGTTACCATCAATAGTTACAGTAGAAAATTTAATAAGACAACATCATATACAATTAAATGAATGTTATTTTCGGTTTGATCAATTAAGACAACATATGAATACATTAAAAACAAATTTTATGTGGGGCTCAGAAGATTGTACGGGAGTTGTCTTTCATATTAATTATAATTCAATAAGAAATACATTCATCGGTTTTGTTACACCCTTAACTGATGGTATACCAACACCTGATCATTTTCAAACAGATAATATTAATCAATTAGAAGAATGATTTAAAACAGAAGAAAAAGCACCATTGATTAATATTCATATGGCAAAACCTCTAACACCAATACTATCAAAATCAACATCATTTATATTGTCAAGCTATAGTACAAATAATAAAGTTAAATCAAATGATATTTTAAGGCGTTGGTTATATATTTATCATGAATGTGTAAAAAGAAATATTAGAATAATTGGTTTTAGCACTGATTACGATGCGAAGTATCTGAAATCAATGCGTGTTATTAGCGGATTTTTTGGACATTTGCCAAATTTTGATTTATTAACAACACCAGATTAGCTATTTTGACTTGAGTTTTTTTTCCTACAAATTCCTTATATTTGTATTTCGATTTCGTAGGTGAAAACTCCCCAAAATTGGCATTGCTTTTATTTACATTACAAACAGTTATTATTATTTATCCAAGACTCAATTCATCTGGCCACAAGATTAAGAAATAGGTTACTATCAACAAAAGCAAATATGATCATAGGTAGTCAAGTGGCATGCTTACAAAATTATATAATATTCTACGAAGTGATTCAAAAATGGATCATGGTTTGGTGAAATCCGACATTAATCCAACAGATCGTCAAAATTTTAGTTTCTGTATTAAAATATCGTCGGACGACGTATTAAAAATACTTTACGATCAAAATGATACAAAAGGAACATACGTATATCTGTTATTAATAAATTTAACAATATCAGCGTTTATTGATACAACAACCCCAATTGATGAAAGATTGTATTACGCATGGGTTGTGGTTTTCACATCCCGATTATGGTGGGCTTTGTTACAACACGCAACAATTCAAAATGATAAGGATGATAATGTAAATCGAACAATAACAAAAGCAACATACAAGAAAAAATTAAACAAACGACATCATTTTATGACATCAGCTTATCTGTCAATAGAAATCAACGCACATAATTTGCTATATATTATATTATTAGTTATTGAACAGCACCTCCCTGAACATGCTTTAGACATATTTTTATTTAATTCACAGTCATGTGAGAACACATTTCGTACTGTAAGATCATTATCTAGCACCTTCTCCATCATCACAAATTCCACTATTAGTGATTTTATAAGATGTGAACAAATTTCAATATTAAATGATATTAAATCTGAAAAAAATAACTAATAATAATGATTTTAAAATATTATTTCCAACACATCATAAATGTAGCAGAACAAAACTGAATGAGTTTACCATATCAACAACAACACATAAATTAACAACACCAATAATTGTACGTTTAATATCCGATGCGTATAAAGCTGCTACGAAATTAATAGGTAATTTAGAAATGGTTAACTTGTTGAAAGAAAGAAAAACATATGAATTACGAGGACGGCGATGATGATAATAATGTTCAACAACAACAATTAACAGCAGCAACGGTAAATACTTTATCAACAACAAAGAAAATTGATTTTAAAGGAATGAGTATAAAAGATAAACTTGATCCAGAACAAGAAAAATGTTATTTTCGTGTAAACATTGGTGATCAAGATAAATATATGCACAAACAAACCGTCTGTTGGCTTTTTTATGAACAGAAAAAATCGGCTTTCATCTGATCGTTTAAAAAGTCCAAGAAGCTGGCCGACAAGAATGAACTGCATACATGTGTTTGTAAATGTTTGCTTTCTTTGTGTTGTACTACTATTTTTTGTTCTCTTTTTTGAAAGGAAACAAAGGAAAACCGAAGGAAAGTGCAATCAAACCAAAGAAAACTAGAGATACTGAAGGAAAACTAAGGAAAACCGAAGCAGGCTAGGAGAAATTGATGGGAAACTACTCTAAGCAGCTAAAAGCTTGATAAAACAAGAACCATTACGCAACAATTTACACAATGCTTGTCTCGCTGCGCGCCTTCGGCGCTTGCTTCGACGCATAGTCGTTTCGGTAAAAAACCGTTTCGCCAAAAGACGATTCGCCAAAAGACAATTCGCCATGGCGAAATGTCATGTGCCGTTGAAAATAGTGATAGTAGTTGGAAGTATTTGTGAAGATGAAGAAGAAGGAAGGAGACTATGTGAAGATGTATTTTGAAGTGTAAATATGTTTTTTCTTTTTTCTTCATTTTTAAGAACAGGTGTTTTTTTACTAAGTTGAATTAGATAAAACGCAACGCTATTTGAAAAATTACATTTATTTTATTCCCCTATGTCTTTTGTTGTGACATCGTTCTCATGTTTATTTGTGTTGGAATTAGTACGCATTCTAGCATTTCTATTTTCAAGACTCTGTGTTCGTAGCTATTTGCTAGTTTGTTTGAAAATATATATTTCGAAGGAGGTTTCCAGGAAATTGTCTTTCGGCGAAACGTCAGAGATTCCCCAAAATTTTGCGTACACAAAAGATGTTAAAAAACCGTTTCGCCGCAAGACGATTCGCCATCGCGAAATGTCAGTGCCGTTTCGCCAAGAATTTGTACGCTTTCGCCAATTGGCGAAACGTCCCATGACTTTTCGCCACGGCGAATTGTCTTTTGGCGAATCGTCTTTTGGCGAAACGACAGAGATTCGTCGTTTCTGATTCTCCATAGTCGAATACCGATTCCTTATCATTTTCATCCAATCAAGCTGAAATGAAGTTTTCGACCAATAGAACCGATCCTACAGCTCGCTCATAGTCATTTTCGGAGTCCCCATAGTCGAATACCTCTAGTGTGAAAGTTTCATGACTGTATGCCATGAAACTACAAACATAGAGCAATTTTGGTTGTCGCTCTGTAGACATACATACATGCAAACATACATACAGGCATTTTATTTTTTACGAGACCTTTTCCTTTATAGTCAGGGGAATAGAAGTTCTCACTCAGTGCCAATGTGGCCCATTCCGGCGCATTCCATAAGCCTCTCAAAAAAGGAGAATGGAAAAAATTGTAAAAAATGGCATGGAATGGGACGGAATGACCTATTCCGTCCCATTCCGCTCTTTTCCGCCTTGGAGGAACGTCGTTAAAATATCGGCATGCACGGAAAAATTATTCTCTGAATTGAAAATCTAGGGTCACACAAAATAAATGTCTGTCATTCGGTCTGTCGATTACACTATGGCTGCCGTCACAGAACGAATCATTTTTAGACGTTTCATCCATACGAGCGCCAGCCAATGCCGCTTTTTAACCATAATCAGTACGGCCGAAGCCATAGGTCGTATATTAAATCCGACTCCACTTTTGTTCGACTTAGATTATTTCGGACCCTGTGTACAATATGTGTTTTTTTCACTATGCGTTTTTTCAACAGTCCCTTCAATTGACACACATTACGACCCCTCGAAAAATGGTCCGACCGAGGTCAAAATTTTACCACAGATACTTCAGACCCTATCTCAGGTTCTTTTTTTCTAAAAGCGTTTTCAACTTCAACTTTCGGCGTGAGAAGGTTTTCAAAATGGAAAAACGGTTTTTTATATGAAATTTTCAGTATTTTTCGGATAGCTTGAGAAGGAAAGAATATTTTCCTAAAAGAAAAAGCGAACTTCAGATAGGATCTGAAGTAACCGTGGTCAAATTTTGAGTTCGATCGGACCATTTTTTCTTAGCTGATCATCCCTCATGTATGTGTTCATTCAGACCATACAAAGACCCGAATCAGTTAAACAGCTGGAAGCTACAAAAAGCATTGGCACTGGAATTTCAGTTGTATCTGAACAAATACCATACCTGTTCCAATTGGGCTAGAGGGATAGACCTTCAATTAAATACCTGGCAATTCCAAGATTACACTGAGCGAAACAAACAAAGAAACATACGAAAACAGTTAGAATATTATGCAATCTACGACGTCATTTCAGTCTGGTTTATAATGTTAC